TCTTAAATACGAGCAGACAAGTATGGAAAACAGATATTTGAGGAAAGCATCTCATGTGAAAAGCAGAGACAAAACCAATAAATAGATTCAATCAACGGGGAAGAAACAGATTAAACTCCAAGAAACTATCATTAATATCCACAGAGAACTAGGAGAAGATGCTATGTTCATGAAAAAGGAGCAGGATACTATAAAAAATATTTAGAGAACAAAGTTAAAAGTGTGGCATAGAAATAAACTCTGGAGAAGGGTTTAAAGATAAAATGAAGAAAATTCGAGTGTAGAGCAAAAACACAGACAAGGAAGTCCAACATCCAATAAATAGGAGTTCTAGAAAGAAAGAACATAGACAGTGGATGGGGAGGAAGTCATTAAAGAAATAATCCGAGAAAAATTTCCAGAGCTGAAGGATATGATTTTTTACAATGAAAAAGCCCATCACAGTAGATTGAAAATAGACCCATACTAAAAAACAATAGTACAAAATTTCAGAACACTGGAAGAAAAAAGGATTCTTAAATCTTCTAAAGAGAAACAATGATTAAGAATTAGAATTGTATGAAATTTCTCCATAGAAACACTGGAAGCTAAAAGAAAATGCAGCAATGCCTTCGGAAATCTGAAGAAACATGATGTCAGATTTCTATAGCCAGTCAATCTATTAAACATTGGTGTAGAGAGAGAAATTTTCAGACATAAATTTCCCCACCTTAGGAAGTTACCTAGGTTGCATTCCACCAAACAAAGGAGTAGACCAAAAAAAGAGAGACCTGAGATTCTGGAAAAAAGATATTCCACATAAGGGAGGGGTGAAAGGAGACCCTAGGATAATGGTGAAGGGAGTTCCCAAGATGTGAGCTGTACAGCAGTCCTAGAGAGCTGTCAGTCCAGACTAGAGCTGATCAGACAGCTCTAGGAGAGGAGAGGCTTTCAACAATAGAATAGTCAAGGCACTTGACTATACTGAGAGATTTACCCAACTGCAGAAATTTGGTAATTAGCAAATGAAAAAAGGAAACAGTTATTAACTGTGGTTAAGTGGTAGCTTGCAGGAAGGGAAACATGTAAGACTCAGCTGTAAAGATTATATAATCAAGAAAAATTTAAACATTAAATATTGAGCTAAGAAAAATTGTCCCTCAAGTACAGTGGGGGAATGGGTATAAGTGAAAAGAGCTATATCTTAATCTTCTGTGATCAGAAGCAAATAGATAATATCTAAAATTGAAAAAGAAATATGCATGCCATTTAGAGATATGGAGGTTAAATACCACCCCTCCCAAAACAACAAACCAACAAAAAAACACAGATGAGGACCACAAAAGCAACAAAAACAAAATGGGCTCCAGAAAAGTTAAAAGTGGTTGCCTCTGGGAGAATAGGAGCTGCTATTTTTTGCAACATGCCTTATTTGATTCTTTATACTATGTGCATGTATAACAGATAAAAATAGTAATCTTAGGGCTTCCCTGGTGGCGCAGTGGTTGAGAGTCTGCCTGCCGATGCAGGGGTCACGGGTTCGTGCCCCGGTCCGGAAAGATCCCACATGCCGCGGAGCGGCTGGGCCCGTGAGCCATGGCCACTGAACCTGCGCGTCCGGAGCCTTTGCTCCGCAACGGGTGAGGCCACAGCAGTGTGAGGCCCGCGTACCGCAAAAAAAAAAAAAAATAGGAATTTTAAAAATATATAAATTTGCATAAATCAAATTGCAATTTAGTTAAGATAACTGACAATTTGAGCTAAAGAGCCCTTCTAGTAAGTTTCTATATCATGCTTATTTTGTAGTATATAAATTTGACTCTAAGTCAAAATTGGGCACATTTAAATTTTGATTTGAGCAATAATCACTTAAAAGAAAGCTAAATTAAGAATTAGGAAATAGCTCCTTGAAGTAATAATAGTTGCCTATGACATATGTACTACAATATAATGTCTTCTATTATTTTGTTTTACACAGAGCTCTCCCAGTTACTGCTTTGTGACCTTACCCTATGTTTTAGTCATCCTGTGAAGACGGATGATTTAAAGGAAACAGAAAGAAACAACCCCCTCTTTGAAGAGTCTAAAATGTCAGATGTATCTCTTGCTTCTAACAATTTTTTAATCTGATATTTTTTTTATTTGTTGTGAATTTATAACTTTTTATTGTTGAATTAACACACACCTAGGAGAATTGAGTTTACTAATATATTTAATATAATAAAAAACAAAATAAAAATATGTTGAGTTGTAAAGAATCATTTCATGCTCTTGAAGACTGTTATTTTCTTGTTTTAATATTTCAAGGAAGGGCTAATTTATTTCATTAATGGCAAGAGTATGACGTAGGAAATTGGCCATGAGGCACTGGTTATCCTTTACCCTATGCTTGAGTTTGGCTTAGGTTGAAAGAGAGTTACTGAATTATAAATGTATGGTATGACTTTATATTAATCAGATCTCTCCTGGTAGCAAGTGCCGAAGGCAACTCAAGCTAGCTGAAGCATTTATTGGGTCATGTGACTTGGAAGTCCATGGTTGGGATAGATTTTAGGGCCTCCACTAATCCATCAGATGTCTCTATCCTGGTTCTGTTTCTGTACATTGGCCTCATCCTCTCCTATGAAAAGGTGATTTCCTCCATATGCCAGGTAGAAGGGGGTAGAGGTATGGTAGACAACTCCAGGTGTACAGCATTATCTTTTGGGGATCCCAGAGGAAAGAGATCTTCTCTGTCTCAGTGTTTAACATTCCAGAGAAAGATCCTGATTGGCCCAGCTTTGATTAAGATGGGTACTGAGCAACTGTTTGGTGAGGCTGATATCATATGCCAGGGTCTGTAGCAAAGGAGAGACCCCACCAAAAGAACAGAGTTGCCATGGCCTGAAGAAGGGGAGAAAGAATGCTAGTCATAAAAACATCAGATACCACTCATTTCAGTCACTGAAGTGGAATAGGTTTTAGTTTTAGGATACCTTTATTCTAAAACTTCCTAATTTCTGTCCCTTTCCACCAATGAAAACTTAATAAGCGTTTACCTTGTAAACATAATTCACTACTATATAGTTGCTTTGAAATCTACCATGTCCTTCATTTTAGATAATTTTGAACATAAAGTATAGAATACCATGAAGCAAGACACAAGGTCAGCAGAACTTGTAGCGTTTTCTATCCTCATTACCCAGCACCTAGCTCAGTGCACAGAATAGGCATGACATAAACGCTTGTTGAATATCCTACTGAATAAACAGGTAAATGAATGCAAGATTTTCAGCTTTAGAATTCCTGAGTTCTGGACCCTAATTTGAGAATTTCTATTTTCTAAGGATGAAGTTTTGTGAAGCATCCTTTTTATCATCATTGATTAAAAGTCTCCACAGGCTCATTATCTTAGCAAATCGTGCCAGTGGTCTTTCTATTAGCTCATGAAAGTGAAGATGCAAGATATTCTTTGTGACTCAGAAAACGCGTAAACAGAGAAGCCAAAAATTTTTGTTAATAAATGTTTTGGGGACTTCCCTGGTGGCACAGTGGTTAAGAATCCACCTGCCAATGCAGAGGACACGGCTTCAAGCCCTGGTCCGGGAAGATCCAACATGCCGCGGAGCAACTAAGCCTGTGCGCCATAACTACTGAGCCTATGCTCTAGAGCCTGCGGGCCACAACTACTGAGCCCGCGGGCCACAACTACTGAAGCCTGCGTGACCCAACTACTGAAGCCCGCGTGCCTAGAGCCCATGCTTCACAACAAGAGAAGCCACTGCAATGAGAAGCCCGCACAGCACAACGAAGAGAAGCCCCCGCTCACCGCAACTAGAGGAAGCCCACGCGCAGCAACTAATACCCAACGCAGCCAAAAATAAGTAAATAAATTAATTAATTTTTTTAAAAGTTGTGGAATAACAACGAAGGCCTCAAAGGGGAAAACTTAACTAAATGCGAGGTTTTCATTTTGTGAAATGCCTACTACTTTTTGTTAAATGAGATATGTAGGTTGAAGGAAAGAAGTGAATTGCTTTGAAGAATTTATAAAGCGTTTTGGGGAAGGGTGAAGAGAGGGCTTTATGACAGTTGTCGGGGGATAAAAATAGAAAAAAGGTATCTAATTGGAAAGTCTGATCAAATTTTTCCATGTATATATACATTGCTTTTTCATCTTCCCAGGAAGACTTTGGTAAAAATCTACATCATTTGATGATGCTTTTGGAGTTGGGTAGGGGAGGAGGAGGTAGGGTGTGGGTGTCGGTTGTGATGAAATTAAATCCGGGTGTATATGACACCAAAGCCTCATCACTAAATTTAAAATGTTTTCTTTTGGTATTTGTTGCTTAAATTTGCTTTAAAACAGAAAAATAATAGTGTGAATGAAATAAAGTCAACAAAGTTGTTTTAGGAACCAAAAAGTGAAGCAAAAGGCAAATTAATTTTAATTCCAGGAAGTTATCCCAACTGCATTTATCTTTTTCATTAAAAAAGTATACAAAAATCCCCCCAGCAAAAACACCAAATAAGTATGAAACACTTTTGAAGCCTCTTAAATTATTGCTCTTGAGAAATTAAATTTTAGTAATTTTCAAATTATACATATAAAACTGATGATTGCTTTGAATGGTAAAGGATTGGCTATTTAAAAAATCAGTTTTACGTGTTACCAAAAGCTATTACCATTTCAGTGTTTCGAAACTTACCCCAAATTGTTTCTGTAGGTATGTAAACTACTGTACGTGGAAATGGGTGTTCAAATACACATCTTTTTAAAATGAATTATTACAGTGCACTACTAGACTTCAAGTGTGAACAGTATTACTCATGCACTTTGCAAATATTGAAGAAGAATAAATAAATTATGGGATCTTTGACAGTCTTCATTTCAAACACTTTCTTGAGGGAAAGGACAAAACCTTTGTGTTCGTGTTGAGGGGTTCAAATCATCCCCGAGTGTTTGACGGTTCACCAAGGTTGATTGATCTTCCCAGGCTGGGACAGAGGCAGGAGGAAGGTGCATTTGCTTGGCTAACTTGCTAGGGATAACCTGCAGAATACGTTAATGTGCACTGGTATCTGGAACCTCGGTTCTTCCCATCAATGAGCAGAAGTGGCATTTTCCTGAAGTAGTCGATAATATCTGACACAGACAGAAAGTCCTGAAAGATTCAAAATAGGGAGATAAAGCAACACTGGGATAGGTAGTGTGAATTTCACTCTCAGTTTTTTTAATCTGCATAATATCCTACCTCTTGAAGTATGAGGATTATGGGAAAAAAACATGTAAAATTTGGCAAATATTTTAATGGTTTCTGCTATAGAACTTTGAAAAAAATAATTCCTCACCAATATCCAGCAAACCTTGGATAAAAGACAAATATGTATTTAGGTATATGTATTTTTAACCTCATATAGGGAATTATATATATTATAGAGATAGAGAGAGGGAGAGAGGGAGAGTCTAATTATGATAGCCTTACCTTAGGATCGTTCTATCTGTGGTTTGGTTTTGGTTTTTGTATCCCTACTTTACTCTAAATCACGAACAATGTTAGGAGCTATAAGGAATCAGGAGGTCAGACAGCATTGCCGGTGTCTGAAGATGCATCTTAGTTCCTTCATGATCTCTGCCGTGTCCCCACTGCCACCTCCACACTCACTTGTTCTGTAGCAAGTCTTTGCATTCATTACCTGGATCACCCTCTCCCTGATGGTCAGACTGGGAAACCCCCATCCATCCATCTAGATATGGGTCAGAGGTCACTTGGTACCCCAGACAGAGTTACGCACTTCCTCCAAGACTACTCTGCTAGGTGCCTCCCTCCAGGGCAACTGCAATGAGTGGTTTGTATTTGTGTGTTTCCATACTAGACCAATAGAAGTCCTGGAGGGCAGACATCTGTGCTTCTATAGGACCTATGCAGCTCTACCCATGCTGAACCAGTGATGCAAACATGTGACCAAAATCATGTGGGGTTTTTTTTCTACTGGTTTACATTACCATAACTTAAAAATATTTGGAGTGAAGTGGAAGTTATGGGTAAGTTGTTTCTCATTCTGGAAATGTTTGATTCAGCTGATCCTCCTCCTGGAAATTTGAACTTAAAGAACATGTTTGGGACATTAAGTTTAGCTATAGTTTCCTTTGCAAAAGGCAGCCGGGAAAGGTTTCCTTCACACCAGTTGTGGTAACTAACCCCAAAGCGACTAGCATAAACCTTGGAAAAATAGAGGAAAATGTCTTTGGCAATCTGGCCACCTTCATTGGCCTTACTTCCATTCTTAGTAAGCAGTGACCCAAGTCATTTTTCCAGATGTCCATTTAAGACACAGCCCTATAAATACACTGTAATCTTACCTTAAAATTATTAAGTCACAGGGGTGACTTAATTCACCTCTGTGTCACAGAAGGGACTTGCCTTTGGCACCATCTAACTGGATTTTTAAAAATTTAAATGCTAACATACATATATTTTTTAAGTTACACATGTGATTTTAGACTGTTTGGAATAAAAGATACAAGTAGCAGAGATAGATACTGTTACCATTTTATTTCCTTCCACTAAATGAAGGGCTTTACTAATGTGACTTAACTCTAAAGTTGCCAGGCAAAAGAATGCTACAGCAAGGTTCCATGTAGGTAGGTATGCAGAGAGGCATAAATAGAGAACTGGGGGAAATTTTACAACTAGAAGTCCTTACCTCTTTCCC